CCATTCGGAACTACATTTAGCATCCATTTGAGTGAAGCAAGAGGCCAATATCGGAGGTACGAAATGAGATCGAACTTCCACGGGACAATCATCCACCATAAGTCGCACAACATTCAACAACGCAATAAGTTGATGTGAAGACAGGCAATGCGCATCCGCAAATAGAGCATGTGCAAGAGGTCCAGGAAGCTCGCTGAATCCATAGAAGTCGACGTCCAAACGACTCATGCAATAAAGTATTGAGTAACAAGACTCTCTCACGGTACGGATTGAGCCTCGTATAGATGATGCAAGACCTTCCATGGTAGATTTGGTACCAGTGACCCTAGCGTAGAAGTCGTCTTTACTCCCAACAGAAATGCCAGCTTGCCAGAAGCGGTCTGTCAAAATGCGACTAACAATAGTTGACATTTCCGGGGGAAGTTCGTTCCAATTCGCGGGGTTATGGAAAGCATGAGCATGACTTGAAGGATTAGCAAGAAAATTCGATGAAGAGAAATTTCAACCTACCTTAGATACTTGAGAAGATTTGGTAGTATGATAGGTAATGCATTTCGCCATAAAGTGCAGGAAACTTTATACGCGGGGTCTTCTCTGTCCAGTTTATCTGTTGAGCAACCTAGATATGATTTTGTAGTTCTCAACGGTAACGCCTGGATTTAGATCAGTAAAAATTTCACATACCAAACAACATTCGACATACCTTTAATCTCTCTTCCATGTCTTTCTGTATTGATTGTGCCTCAGAGTCTAGCTGATATGCTGACCAATCCTGAATCTCATGAACTCGCCTTGTGACAAGAAAGTCTCTTACGCGATTCAAACCGAGTAGGTTACAGAAACCAGTGAAACCTTCAATCGCCTTATTCATTTCTGGATCTTGCCAGCTTGTTTGTACAGGTGTCAGAAATCTTTTCAATCTCTGTAGGCGGATTTCCGGGTCAATTTTTGAGTTACGATGGCTGCTAGAATTAGCATTGCATCTGAAAGATTACTGGGAGACAGAAGCATACATGATCGTGAATAAGAAAGTTTGATAAGACGTCTGGCGTTTTTTATCAAGATTTCTGGTAGAAATGATTTCATTAACCTTTGCTTCGAGCTGATCATAGACGTCCTGCGAGCTTAAATTAGTAGGCATTTTTTGACAATTTTGAAGTTACTAACCAATAATTGATCAGGCATTTTCCCGGCTAGTCGTTGTAACTCATAAGCGGACTCTGTCTGTAGCTCTTTCACAGCTTCGTTATAAGCAGGGGCGTTTGGATATTCCATTGGTTGTGTCATCAAGATATGTTCTAGGACTTTCAGCATGAAGCCGACTTTTTTATCTAAAGCAGTCGTCGAAAGGGCAACTGCAAGCTGTATAATTCTCTTTTGAATTATTGGATCCTAGTGAAGAGGTCAGACAAGACCAAGAATAGCGTGACCACAACATACCTCGAATTTAAGCTCCAAGAATCGTTCACACCAAGTTTCTAAATTACTCTCTATTCTTGTGCGCTCTTGCTCCTAGTATTCGTCAGTTACATGTGTTACATCCATCCTGCTTGTACTTACATCTCGTTGGGGATCGGTGCCATGTCCCGCGCGCCATTTCATATATCCCTTTAGTGCTGCTTCTACTACTGTGAAATTCTTGTCGACCCGTAGTATTGGTATTGAAGTTTTGGAATAGTTTTCCACTAAATCTAGGTCAATCATTTGTGGTGCAAATTCTACGGGACTAATTACCAGTAAACGCTGGACATCTATCATAAAGATGCTGCAAAGAGTTATCCACTTGACCTAATATATGATACAAAGCCTCGGATTGCTTTTGTCGAACAACAAGCTCTATGACTTGAGAGCAATACCGACGATAATTTCCAAGAAATGCATGTCTCTCTGGCTGCGTATCGATATCTTCTTTCAGAAATAGGTATTCTGGATCTTCGCAGTCATCTGGCATGTTCTCATAACGAATGAGGCGTGAACTAGAAAGTTCTAAAAGAGGTGCAATTAAAGGGGTTATGAAAGAAGACCCTCCAATGATTGGCGAGCGAAGTAACTTTGTCCAGACAAGAATAACGGGTATCGAAACGACAAGACTTTGACTTTGAGCAATAGCAAGGAAAAGATTCAAAAGGTTGGAAAGATCGCAAGATTCGGGTATAGCTGAGATTTTTGACTCTATGAATACTCCGAGATTTGACATCATCTACATAAAGTCAGTATAAATACGAGATTTTCAAAAATGTATCAAACCTCAGAAAACTTTTTGGCAAATAGATATTTTTCATCGTCAATATCATTAGCGTCTACTACAGACCACTGGAATAGATTTCGTAGTAAACCAACCACTTCACTGGTATACATCGGACATACGAGTTCTAAAAATTCTTCATCCGAAAAATGCACGCGAGTATAAAGTGCAAATAGAGCTTGGACAGACGCCTAGGAGGTATCAGTGCTGTAGGCTCGCCTCACGGGTACTTTTTGAAAACTTACCAGTTGCACTGGCGTACTAGACGCAGCGAGACATTTGCACATATATTGAACGCATTGGGCACTGGATATGGCTTTTGGTACGGTCCAGGGCACCACAGACCTGTAAACAGCTAATATCTTAACTGCACAACTCTGATACTGAGGACCCGAAATGTCCAGTTGAAGGCACTGGCCTAGCAATTCTCCAATTCTTACTAGCCAACCTTCATCTCCATGTCTCAAAACGGTACCTAGCTGTCGATTTGGGAATGCTTCCGATAGCACAACGGCTGGTGTAAAGATTTCAACACAAGCTCTGCTCAGAGCGCCCTCTCGTAAAACGGTTACAGCATCTTCCCCATTAAATACCTCATCAGAGAGTGTCTCGAGAACAAACAAAACAAACTCCTTGTGAACCACAGTGCCTGGAAGCTCCCATAACCCCACAAGAAGTTTATCCATATCAGTCCACTCTGATCCCCAGCTTCTTTTTGCAATTTCCACCCAAAGTTGCGCTGTCTTATTTCGCAGATATAAGGGGTCCTCTTGGACTAGATTCTTAGAGAGTTGAATAACCCATTGCCGCAGCGCACTTGCTTGCCCTTCCGAATATACTGCCCATTTTAGTTTTATCGCATGCTCCAAAAGAGAAAGTGCATAGTGGCGTACAACTGGCTGTTGAGATTTATCGGATGCTAAGGTAAAACCATGATAAGGAGCTTCGTCTTCGGCTTTGATATTCTCTAGGAAGCTTGAGGCTTGTTGGCGAGACTGATTGGAGGAATACGGATTATGGACAAGTTCTAGGGCTTCATGGATTTGTGATAATAATGCCGTGCTTCCATTTGTTTGTGCAGCTGATACCTCGTTGGCAGTTGTGCTATGCCCATTAGTAGAGTCGTTCATGGTGACCTATTAATGTATGATGAGAAGATCAAGAATTTCTTGCAGATTCTTGAGCTTTATCGACCAAAGACACCGTCTTTCTAAGAAGAAGTTTCGAACTATATGACCTGATCTAACTTTATGTATGGGTTAGATGTTCAAAGAGCTTTATCGAAACGGCTCGAAAACGCTTGAATGAAGTATATGAAATTACAAAAGAAGTAAGAGTTTTGTGTCAGCGTAATTAAGGAAGGTACAGGATGTTGGTATTGAATGGAATCCTCGTGTGCTGAGTTCACTCGGGAATATTGTACAGTAAGAAGAGGACTTGATGCTGGAGATCTAAGATAAATTCAAGCAAACACTGTACAGTGAATCCAAATGTAGCTGTAGCCTTCTTCCTTAGTTTTCAGCGGCGCTGCAGCCTTGCGGGCCCACCCAAATCATCTGCACTTACATAATCAATGTAATTCGGTTAAATTGCTAATGCATCAATTAGCAAATCTCCGATCCGGGTTGAATTCTTAACGTCTATCCAGGTCAGTGGGTACAAAAAAGCTAAAGGCATTGATTTGATGAAATGTAGTGAAATGCTCATATAAAACTTGATAGTACACAACAGATACATTGGAAGTTCTTTGTATTTGCATATATTGTTGTTCTATAGTTGGCAATCATACTGTCATCCCAAGCTGTCTTGATGTATATGGCTGGATTCTCCATTTCTTCTTCTTCTTCTTCTTCTATACGATCTATATATCTGGCATACAGATTTTTGGGTGGAAATCCTGTTGGAAATATTAGTGTCTTTAAAACTTAATTCTAGATCCACCTTACTTTCTTTAGATACTTTTACTCCCTCCAGCGCTACGTTCACTTGTTCTTCTTCTTTGGTAGTGCTTTTCTGCTAATTCCCCTTTTCGCCGTTCTGGTCGTATGTCATAAATATCCTACTTTTCCAACTGGTATCATATTCTTCATTGAGAGGCCAACTGTATTAAGCTGTTATGGGATAGTGGTTAGTTTAGCCATATTATCAGCTTGCTCCAGCTGTTTGCTGCAGATCCTCTAACCGCCAAACGCGGCAGTTACATGTTACATGCTTCCACTACTAGCAAAGTGATATACTATGGCCAATATTCAATTCGACATAGTATAATCCATTCTTTGGCGGGTCGGAGTATCCTCTTTGATCATTCAACCTCAGTCTATTTGTTTGATTGCTCAGAAGGAAGTATTGGGGTCATCAAACAATAGTTGCCAAATACACAAATCATGCAGCAAACATACATGGATTTTCTAAAGGCTCACACAGTAGCAAATGCTCTTGATTCCTACCTCAATTAATACATTCCTCCGCTTTAATTTAGATTTATTCCCATCTACAATTTGGCGGAGGGCAAATCAAAAATTACTTTCGAAGAATGAAACCATATTTTACCAGTCACTTTTGAATATCCAATCCTGCCCAACACCCCTAAACAAATCACACCAAACATCCTTCCTCAATAGCTATTATCCAAGTCTGGATCCGATTAATACCACATATAACCCCCGCTACATCACCTCCACGCTTCATAGTGCCTTTTCCCATCGTCCCCCAAGACTCCACACTGTCAACCTTCCCCGCCCAAAATAATAATAATTAGAAACAGAGAGATTCGAACTCTCATCTCCCACAAATCCGTTCAGTTGAAACGACCGGTTAGCCTCCGACCCGTCGGCTTCAACATGTCGAATCAACCTCACACTAAGAGGTGAGTATTCTACCATTGAACTATGTTTCCTATTTGTTTGGTATTATTGTTGAGGAGGGTGAGTTAGTTTGCGTATATATTGAGAAAGTTCTTGGACGTTAAAGGTGAGGGAGAGGGGGAAGGGGAGGATGGTATTAGCTATTTGTTCAGACGGCGGAGGGGATATTTATAAAAGATTCCATATTTTAGATATAGAAGTAGTAATATTAGTTAAACCTCCAATTTTCCAATCAATATATAAAATTAGCTAAGTTATAGTCGCTACCTTCAGTTCCTTCTCCTTTCATCTTCACCTCAGGAGTTCACACACAACAAACTTACTTGATCCAATCCAATCTAATATACAGTATCAAGCATTAACGATTCAAGATATAGTCCAGTATACAATAAAAAATAAAAAATAACCCAAAGAGAAAGCAGGAATAAAATTACTAACACAAATAAAAAATCTACAGAACACCACTACAAAACCCCCAGGAAAATAACAAGAACATTCATCCCCTCATCAAACACTACACAAACACCAACTTAAAAACCCCTCCCCCCTACCTCTAACCCCATCTCCCATATATCATCATCCACGCAACTATCCTCCCTCCATCAATCCCATCATAGACATCCCCAAGCTTTTTAGAGATTAAAAGAAAGTAGATATGATATATGATATACCACAACCACAATATTCCTCCCCATTTCTTACCCCTTACCCCACATCTCGAAAAGAGAAGGAAAAAAAAAAAAAGATTCATTTCATTTTTACATTCATATAGATCACAATTCCTCCCCCATAAAGAGCAACCTCAACCCCCTTAGTATTCATACAAATAATCAAGTGAATACAGCATCCACCCACCTAGCTATCCACCTAATTTTCCATCTCATCTCCCCACAATCCAATCACAGCATCTTCTCGAAAAGGTAGGATAGTATTATAAGGAAAGGTATAAAGATATAAAGGAGAAGATATATCAAGCGAGCGAGCGGGCTCTTTTTCACTTTATGTTGCTTCATGAGATGGGGATGGGGATGGATGGAGTGGGGTGGAATGGTGATTTGAATATGGGGGTTTGAGGACCGTGTTTTGAAGAGTATGGGGTATAGGATGAGGATGTATGGGGTTGAATATTGACTAGGTAGGGATAGGCAGCGGTAAATACCTAGTATGCAGAGACGCAAGAAAAAAAGAGATGCGTTTCTATGTATGGACATGCAACGATTTACTTACTCGTATGAGGTAGAAGAGTAAAATAGAAATAGAACCGCATCATTTCCCTCAATTTATCATTCGAAAATTATTGTATAACCTGGTGTTGTACATTATTATCCTATGCTGAAGGAATCTATCTGTGTAATGCAGATCCCATGGGCGTGATTTAAGCATCATATCTCCATCGTGCCTCGAAAGTTCTATTCCTCAACCACATCTCCATTCTTCTTCATTTCACCTACCAGAAATCTCCACTCATCACTACTTACTTTACTCACACTCAATCGTGCCAGTTTTAACATTTGCATGTTATTCAAAGCATTTCCCTTTTCTTCAAACCAGGCTTTGATCTCCTTGAGCGTGATAGGAGTTTTGAGTTTCTGGCGGAATTCAACGTGTACTACACTCCACTTGGGATCATCCGGTGAGGATTTAGAATCATAATATGGGGCGGTGGGGTCATGAGCTGAGACTATACTTAGTTAGTATGGATATTGGAAGAAGAGAATCGTGGAGGTATTTACGATCGGGAGAATGTTCTTGAACAATTTCCATGATTCCAACGATTGCGGGAATTTTGCAGGATGAATGGTAAAAGAAAGCTAAATCCCCCTTCTTCATCGCACGAAGATTGTTGCGTGCTAAAGCATGTGTAAGTGATTTAATCGTAAAACTGCATGCAAGGTGACACACCTGGATATGCTCTTATTCCTTTGAAAACGTTAGTGTTAATGTTGACATGGTAATACATGTGTGAGGAATAACATACCATCCCAAGGCTCAGGTTCAGTCTTCGCTGCCAAATCATCGATGGAGAATTTAATATCATGACCTTTTTCGATACGTGATTCTGGTTCAGCTTTCATGAGCCAATATTGACGAGTTGATGACGACTCCGCTGACGAGACGGCCGCTGATGCAGGTTCGGTGCCATTCAGTAGAGATGATTGTGTGGATTTGATAGAATTCTAAAAATGATCCGCTCATTAAATTCCAAAAATGCAAAGATAGAAATCGAATTGACAGAAACGTACAGAGTATGAAATGGAATGAATATGTAACAGAGTTTGTGAAGAGCACCTGCCCGTCCAAGAGAACTCCCTGTGGATAAAAATATGAGACAAAATCAAGATGTAAGACTTAATTACAGTGGGTAGATAGATAGACGGTAGGACCCTACAATATGAGAAGGGTTGAGAATAACGGGAAGTATGGACCTACAGTATTTGATTTTGGCGCAGTAACCTCTTCGTTGACCTCAGCACCTTTTATGGATTTCCCATTTGCCGCCTTCTTCTTGTTCTCCTTATTCCGGTTTGACGCTTGAGAAGTTGATGAGGTTGTAGTCACTTCCTTCAAGCTCTCATTATTGTTATTGTTTGTTTTCTGTCGACTGGATCTTCGAAGTCCTACAGGAACTTCATCTCCAATTTCTTTAGCTTTTCTTTTGGCCATCTTGTGTTGTATTTATTTATTTATGTATTGTTTATTGCTGGAAACTTGTAAGTAGTCACTGTAAACAATGGAGCCTGTGTTGGAACCCCGAATGTTTATGCAATGGAAAAGAGATGCGTGAGTCCCTGCTCCTAGTACAAACGTACTCCGTAGATAAGCTAACGAATGATTTGATGCATTATCTCCACTAACACAATCCGTACGGAGTAGATTATGATGGACCAAGCAGGGATTAAACCTTCTCGGTGTTTTCCCAAACTTCCTTAAGCGAAAGAAATGACGACCAAGAAGCCTCGTGCCTGCCGAAACTAAAAATCAAAAGCCACCAGAGCTAACCATCTTAATCTGTTGTGCCCCAGTTACACCATCTGCACTCCTCCCTTTTCATATCACCTACCAAAGAGCCCTGCAACTTCAGAATATATAAACAATATTACTCATTTTGAATCATGAGACGAGTCCTTTAAGCATATAAGCATGTATGAGGATGGAAATCGACTCAATAGGTAATATAGGATACCTTCTTCTTTTATCCCCAAAACCATCAGCCATTTTTCTTCGTCCCTCATTCTTCATTTGTGATTTAACGGATGTCAATCCATCCAAACTACTGTTCTGGGCTTTTTAAAAACTACCTATTGGACCCGGTCTTATGCATGCTTGATAGACCATTAATGTTGAACGCCATTCCGTCAAAATCATACATCCAACTGATCCTTCCACAAACTCTTGTGCTTCCACGGAGCCACCTCCAACAAGATATTCTGGTCTCCACAATCACCAACGACAGATTCGGATAGCCGGCCCCAAGGAATCTTATGAGTAAGAGGAAGAAAACGCGAGAAGTCGTAATTTTACGGCACATTGCTTGCAGGATAAATAGTCTCAAATGCAGGAATCATGATACGTGGTAATGATCACAAAATCATACACAATACCTACCTTCCTTGACCTACGCTCAGCATTTCATAGCTATCATTAATTTCGATAAATCAGTATGGGTTTAACCATTAATAGAGTATCAAGGATCTCCAGCTGCCGATGATGGAAGTAAGTAGGTAATAGTAGCAAAGTCATTTAGATAGTAATAAAAACGAAGCCTAGATGCATTCATTGATCAACCTTAGTATAGATTTTCCGGTTTATCTTTTTGGTCCTTTCACTTAGCGGATGTCAATCAAAGCCACCCACATACCACAAACATACCGGTATCATAAAGAAACATGCAGGAATTGTCAAACGAATTCCCCGGGAAATAAGTTACGGGGTCCCAAGGTGATATTGGTGCCTCACGAGCAAGACTCAATGTCATAAAGTTGGTATAACCATCCATCCCATCGATATCCCGTCTCAATCATCCTATTCATCTCATCCCCAGCTTCAGAGGCATAATCTGTAACGGTATTATTGGTCTGTGTGCGGTATCTCTATGATGTGAGGAGAAATTGAAATGGGTCTAGAGAACTAAAAACAGGAACGAAGGACCATACCAGCATACCAGCATAGGTACCTTTCATAGACAGCATTTGTAACCTATCAATCTGATCTTTTCTGTAAGGCAATGATTTATACGCCAAAAGCTTATATCCTGGTGGGAAACGTGATTTCCAATTTGGCCCTGCACCTTTGAACAATTAAATAAAACTCCATTCCCCCTCTTTTTTTTCTCTGTTCCTGTTTTTTTCTTCTCTCATCCTATCTTTCTTCCTAAGTATCATATTCGCCTCCTTTCAATTTCTCTTTAATTCTTCATTTTCTTTCTGGTTTCGAGTCATTTTGAATTCATTCAAATTCTCCGTTCCTATTGTATCCTCTTTCCTACCTGCCACTATCACAAACCTTGTCAAGAAAGACAGGGCGGCCTTCCTTTTTTTCAAATGCAACAAATTGGAAATGATGGATTCACAACGTCAACTGATGATGGAAACTTCTTCATATCTTGAAAAATTGTTCTACATCTCATCGTCTTTCTCTTTACCTAATTTTTGGAGCGACAAGTTTTTTCCTTTATGTCGCAGATTTCTTATGGTACAAAAACACTTAGGTCCACGGGTTAAAGCGACCACAAATTTCACACCGCATCAGGAACAGGCACGACCGGGAACCAATCATGCTAATCCAACACACTACTATCTCTCTCATTTACTATACCTCACTCACTCAATCTATTAACCAAAGGATTTTAGGGTATTTGAAGATGTTGACAATAGAATAGCGATTACGGACCATTTTATTCTTTTTCTATACGGATATAATTCGAATTCAAGAAGAATGAAATAATCTTTCCGCATGGAAGAGGACAGATTGAGTCGGGCCAATGATATGATTCGATTGGCTTATCAATCGAAGTTAGCCTTTTTTCTACCAA